TGTGCACAGTGGAGACTGGAAGCATCTGGCGGAGGTGTGCGAGCACCTGGGGAGTCCGTGCAGCTCTCCTGTCGTGGATATGGCTTCAAATTCGGAGGCGTTTGGTGGTACTGTCAGGGACCTGGTGGCTCTCTCAAGTGGCTGTCTGACATCAGCACCAGCTCATATGTTAGATCGAGCCCTGAGGTGGACGGTCGAGTGAAAGGCTCCCGAGATGATTCCCGAGCTATAATCTCTCTGTCCTTATATAACCTGCGCCCTGAAGACACAGCCCACTACTTCTGTGCTGTTCACACGGGAACAGGAAATCCTTCAGATCTCAGACAAAAACTCCTTCCTGACATAGCCAAGGCTGCAGGAGTCACAGGCCTGGAAACTGCTGGTGAGGCTCTGCTCTGCTCCTGGGGAGTGATGGGATGTCACAGCACAGCACAGCACAGCACACCACAGATGGCCCTGTCCTTTCTGCAGGAGCTCCTTTTCCATCACCACTGCTTCCCTCCTCTGGAGTCCCAAAAGCAATGTTGTAACGTGGGGATTATGTGCAGCATATTTCTGGTTAGCAAAACATTGACCACTCTACCTTCCTGCCCTCAGCCCGTCTGGATTGATTGGTTCTTGGCTTTCTTCTTTGCTTGGGTATTCAAAAACAGTTGTGTTCTAGCAACAGCCTTGCCTGCTTCCAGCAACAGCTGTGAGCCGTTCTTTCCATGTATCAGTCAGGAAAGCCATGGGTAAATGAATGTGTCTGATGTGGTTTCAGGTGCATTTCTGAGTCCTCCTCAAGGACTTACTTAGATGATTCCAATGGGCTGGAGAGTTGGAAGGCAAGGGTTCCCAAGAGAATTGCTTGGCAGTTAAACACTACATATGCCAAGCTCAATATCAATGTGTGCCTATGAGTAAGAAATTGGAAAAATTGGCAGGAGGCCTGCCTGGAGAAGGGAGCTCATGGATGAACTGAAAGGCAAGAAGAAAGTCTAAGAAATGTGGGAAAGGGGCCTGTCCACATGGGAGGAATATGGGAGTGCTGTCAGTTTCTGCAGGAGTAGAACAAGGGCCACCAGTATTTAAATCTTGCAAAGGAGGACAAGAATAACACAGACAGTTTTTGAGTTTTGTCAGTATAAAAGACTAGGGAATATGTTGGTCCACTACTGAAAGAGGTGAGTGCCCTGGTAACAGAGTATGGTGAGAAAGTGGTGATACTGAATGCATTTGTTGGTTCAGCATTTCCCACTAAAACTGCCGCTAAGGAATTGCAGTGCCCTTGGGTGTCCTGATGGAGAACAGATTGGCCATGAGCCAGCAGTGTGACCTTGTGCCCAAGGAGGCCATTTGTATCCTGGGATGCATTCAGAAGAGTGTGACCTGCAGGTCAATGGAGGTGATCCTCCCCCTCTCCTCTACCCAGGTGAAGCAACATCTCATATACTGTGTCCAGGTAGAATCGTAGAATCACCAAGTTTGGAAAAGACTTCCAAGATCATCCAGTCCAACTGTCCACCTACCACCAATATTCCCCACTGTATCTTGTCCCTTAGTACTACATCTAAATGTTCTTTGAACACCTCCATGGACGATGACTCAGCCACCTCCAAGGGGAGCCAGTTCCAGTGCCTGATCGCTCTTTGGGAGAAGAAATGTTTCCTAATATCCAACCTGAAGCCCCTCTGGTGCAACTTTAGCCATTCCCTCTAGTCCAGTCTCCAGTTATGCTGGAGTAGAGGCCAAACTCCACCTCGCCACAGCCTCCCTTCAGGTTGTTCTAGAGAGCTGTAATGTTTCCACTGACCTTCCTCTTCTCCCGACTAAACAATCACAGTTCCCTCAGCAACTCCTAATAAGGCTTGTGCTCCAGACCCCTCACAAGCTTCATTGCCATTCTCTGCATACGCTTCGGGTCCTCAATGTCTTACTTGTATTGAGAGGCCCAAACTGAACACAGCACTCAAGTCACGGTCTCACCAGAGTAGAGTACAGGGGGATGATCACTTCCCTACTCCTGCTGGCAACACTATTTTTGCTACAAGCCAGGATGCCATCCATCGGCCTTCTTGGACACCTGGGCACACTGCTGGCTCGTGTCCAGCCGAGTGTCAACCAACACCCCTATGTCTGCTTCTCCCACACATTTTTCCAACCACTCTGCCTCAAGCCTGCAGCATAACTGGGGCTTCCCTGTTAAAAAAAGTCAGGGATCCCCTAGAAGGAGTCCAGCAGGGGGCGACGGAGATGCTGAAGAGCCTGGAGCACCTGCCATATGAGGAAAGGCTGAGAGGCGTGGGTTAGTTCACCCTGGAGAAGAGAAGACTTGTAGGTGATCTGATCAGTGTTTTTCAACATCAGAAGTACGGGAGGCAACTGAATGAGGCCAGACTCTTTTGATGAGGGTGTAGTGACAGGACATGGAGCAGTGGCCAACAAATGGAACATAGGATATTCACACAAATATGCAGAAAAGCTTCTTTATGGTGAGGATGACAAAGCACTGGAAAAGGTTGCCCAGAGAAGCTAGAGAGTATCCTCTGCAGGTATCCAAGACCTGTCTGGATGCTTATCTGTCTTGAACCGAACACTTCCATTTCAAATTCACATCTCAGTCACGCCAAAAATCAACCTGGATTTTCCTGATCTGCACATCCCAGAAACACTGTTCCTTCTTTGGGAACAGAATTACAGTTAGCTTTCCCTCATTAGATGGTATTTGCAATCTGGTCTGGCCTGTGTTAAAGGTTGGAACTAAACAGTCTCATCTCACAATGGGACCTCAGACAATGATGACTCTCAGCTGAAGCCTTGGGAGGATATCAAAGAGTCCTCTACAATTCCAAGTCACATCAAGTGTTTTGATGAGGAACAAGCAAGGTCAGATGCATGTATCCCAGTCGTGGTGCCCAAACAAGTCTGAGAAGGACAGGGATGTGACTGAAGTCAAGTGAGGAGAGGAGGGGTTGAGATGGTACAACCAAGCCAGGTGAGGTCTCTCAGGGTCAATCCTGCAGCCTAGCTGGAGACAACTAGTGTAGGAGGGATGTGAAAGAAGAGAGCTGTGCAGTGAGGATCAGCACAGCAGGTCTATGTATAGCAGAATGAACGAGCATGGGGCAAATGATTTCGAGAGGGTTTTTGCATGGTGCCTCGTGGTGCTGTGTCAGGGGAGGGGAGGGAGACCACGGAGGGATGTCGGTGCGGGGCTCAGGGAAGCACGTGCAAGCAGAGGCTGCGGGCCGAGAGCCGTGCGTGGGGCAGGCGTGCTGTGTCCGGCCTCGGCCCGGGCCCATCGTGCACGGAGGGCTGCGCGGGGATGAGCCCAGGGCCCGGAGCCTCCGAGTGCCGGGGCGCGGCGCTCCGCCTCTGCCCCCCGCGCTGCCCCGCGCCCCGCCCCGCGCCCGCCCCGTCCTCCGCCGAAGGGGCCGCGGTGGCACGGGGCCGGGCCGGGCGGGGAGGAGAGGAGAGGAGAGGCGAGGAGCGGTGGGCGCTGCCCCGCCTGGGCCCGCCGAGGGGCGGCCCGAGCGCGGCCCCGCTCTGCTGCCGTCCGCCTGCCGGGCAGACGGCGGCGGCGCGGCGGGGCGCGATGGCGGCCGGGCTGGGGCCGTGGCTGCTGGCCTTGGCCTTGGGGCCGGCAGGTGAGAGGCGGGCACGGAGGGCGGCGAGGCCGGGGCTGGGCGCGGCTCCTGCTGCTGCCCCGCGGGCGCGCTGAGGCCTGCAGCTCGCCTTCGGTGCCGGGGAGCGGCTGTGGTGCGTGGCAGAGGGAGGCTGTGTGGGGACGCGGATGCTGCGGGAGCGGCCCTGGCTGATGAGCCCCGAGCAGGAGGGCGGCTGGGGCAGTGCCCCTGGCCTGGGGCTGGGGCTGTGGCTGTGGCAGGGGAGAAGAGGTTCACAGCTCGGAGTTTATGGTCTACGGCTGTTAGAATGTCTGGGGAACGTCCTCTTTCCGTGGATGTGCAATGCCTGGTTCCTGTTGCTGTCCTTCTGCAGGAGTGTGTGCACAGTGGAGACTGAAGGAATCTGGCGGAGGTGTGCGAGCAGCTGGGGAGTCCGTGCAGCTCTCCTGCCAGGGATCCGGCTTCAGCTTTGGAAGTTATGCTGTACAGTGGTACCGTCAGGCACTCAGTGATCATCTCAAGTGGCTGTCCTTCATCAGCACAGGCTCAGATGTTCTATCCAGCCCAGAGTTGGAGGGTCGATCATCAGTCTCTCGAGACAATTCCAGATCTGTGTCCTATTTGTCTCTCCGTGCCCTGCGCCCACACGACTCAGCACGTTACTTCTGTGCGGTAGACACGAGAGCAGGAAATCCTGCAGAGCTCTAACAAAAATCCCTTTCCTGGACACGGTCATGGTTGCAGAACCACAGTGCTGGCAGGAGCTGGAGCGGCTCTGGGCTGCTCCTGAACAGTGAGGTGATGTCGCAGGTGACCCTGTTGTTTCTGCAAGGTCTCCTTTCACTTCATCACTCCTTTCATTCTCCTGAGTCACAAAAGGAGACAGATACTGTGGGAGTGGCCCTGACAGCCCTGAGTAGGAGCGTGAGAGCTGCACTGCTGCTGCAATTTGGCAGTAGCAAAACCATCTGCAACTCGAGACGGGATTGGGAAAGCAAAGGCACATATGGAACTGAAGCTGGAATTAATTCTAAATACTGTAAGAAGGGATTGTACTGGTGCCTAGGTCAGAAGAGTCAGGCCTAAGAGATTGTACCTCCCCTGCTAAATGAGAGTGGAGAACAGGCTAGAACATATATAGGGAAGGCTGAGGCACTCAATGAGTTCTTTGCCTCAGTCTTCACTGGCAGCCAGGATTCTCCCACCCCTGAACCTCACATCCCTACACCTGATGCCATCTGCAGGGTATTTGATCAACTGGAAATTCTGGCGTTGAGAACCTAATGAGATTCAACATAGCAAAGTGTGTGGTTTTCCGCTTGGGTCAAGCCAAACCCAAATATGTATACAAGCTGGGAGAACTTGAGAGTAGCCCTGCTGGGAATGACTTAGAGGTTCTTGTTGATGAAAAACTGAATATGAGCCAGCTGTGCACACTCGCAGCCTGGAAGGCTGATGGTATCCTGAGTTCCATCAGAAGAGGGGTGGCCATCAGGGCAAGGTAGATGATTGTGCCCATCTGTTCTGCCCTCCTGAGTCTCCATCTGGAGTACTGTGTCCCAGCCTGGAGCCTCCAACACAGGAAGATTGTGGAGGTTTTGGAGGGGGCTGAGACGCGCAAGAAAGGTGATCCAAGGGCAGGAGGGACTGTGCTATGAAAACAGACTGAAGGAACTCGTCTCACTCAGCCTGGAAAAGTGAGAAGACTGTGGGGAGACCTCATTGCAGCCTTCCAGTATTTCAGGGGAGTTAATAAATGTGAGGGAAATCAACTTCTTACATGGGTAGATAGTGATAGGGCAAGGGGGGATGTTTTTAAACAAAAGGATGGGAAATGTAGAGTTAGATGTCAGGGGGAAGTTCTTTACTGAGAGTGTGGTGAGGTGCTGGAACAGGCTGCCCAGAGACATTGCAAATGCCCCATCGCTGGAGGTGTTTAAGGCCAGGTTGGATGGGGCCATGGGTGAGCTGATGTAGTACTTGATCTAGTGGCTGGCAGCCCTGCCTGTAGCAGAGAGGTTGGAACTTGATGACCCTGGAGGTCCCTTCCAACCCAAGGCATTCTATGATTCTCTGTCTGTTCCAGGCTGGGGGCATTTAGGGTGGTTGGGAAACTTCTTCCCTCCATTAGCTCCATTCTACTGCAGCTCATGGCGCTTTCGTTGTGCAGGGGTGTGCGCGCAGCCCAGGATTGTGGAAGCTGGAGGTGGTCTACGAGAACCTGGAGAGTCTGTGCCCCTCTCCTGCCAGGGATTTGGCTCCAACTTCAAAAGTTACCATGTTTATTGGTACCGTCAGGCATGCAGTGGCCATCTCGATTGGCTGTCTTACTCTAGCAGCTTCTCCTCTTACACTTCCTACAGCCCTGAGATGGAGCATCGAGCCACAGCCTCTCGAGACAATGACCACACTGTGGCATCTCTGTCTTTATGTGCCCTGCACCCCCACGACTCAGCCCGCTACTTTTGTGCCATTCACACAGAAACAGGAAATCCTCCTGAGCTTTAACAAAAATACCCCTTATTGAACACTGTCAAGTCTGCAGGAGCTACAGGGCTGGCAGACACTTCAGTGGCTCTGGCTGTTTCCTGGACAGTGAGAAGTCACCGCTGCACATTACAGATGGTCCTGTGCATTCAGCAAAACCTTCTTTCACTTCTTAACACTCCTTTCATTCTCCTGAGTCACAAAAGCAGTGTTGCAACCTGAAGATTATGTTTGGCGTATTTCTGGTCACCAAATCAGCTTGGCCACTCTGCCCCCTTTCTGCCTGCAGCATGTCTGGATTGGCTCGTGCTTCCCTTTTTCTCTTGGGTGCTCAAAAGCATTTGGGCACTTCTAGCAACAGCACTGCTTGCTTCCAGCAGCAGCCATGGGCCCTTTCCATGAGTGTGAGCAAAGCAGGAGATGAATAGCTCTGATGTAGTTTCAGGTGCATTTTGGAGTGATGAAATCCTAAGAATGAGGTCTGTAGAGATGCAGTGAGCAGGGCAAACAGAAGCCCTGCAATGTGATGGGTTGCTCTGATTGCAGTGCCTTGTCTTTGTTTCCATGGAAGCTACAAGAAATAGAAAGAGCACAATAACACTAATTGATAGAGCAGATTCTCAGCTCCCAAACACTATTTTTCAATAGCAATTCACAGGAGCAATTCAAAAGCAATTTACAGGAGCCTTCACTTCATGCTTGTAAATACCTGCACCAGTGGAAGCAGCGCACTGTTTCACAGCTGCTATGATGGCACAGTTGACCAGGAAATGTTGCCCACACAGTCCATCTTTCACCAGTCTGAACAGATGGAAAAAATGAAGGTGCCAAATCGGGACGATCTGTTGTGTGTGTCAGGACTGTAAAGTCAAAATAAGCTCTGTCCACCACAGTCTTCCAATTGGTATGGAACCTGACATTACGGTGTTGAAAGAGAAAGATAGTCTTCTTCTCTGACCTGATTCTGGAAATTCAAGCCTTTGTCAGTAGTACATTGTCAGTACTGAGACTGAGTGGTAGGAGTTGATGCATTGTCCAGGTCCTAGCAAATCCAGACGGATCACCCCTTCCTTTCCTATCCCAAAACACAGTGCACATCAGTATGCCCACTGAGGTCTGTATCTAGACCTTTTTCTTTGATAGGGAATTCTCATGTTGCCACTCCATGGACTCTGGCTCTTTTGACTCTGGCTCGTAGCCTTGACTCCACACCTCATCATTGGTAATGATGAGATCCAGGAAACTGACACCTGGAGCCTCATTTGGGTTCAATTGTTTCTTGCTAATTGGCATACAGTGTTCTTTCTGTTCCTGTGTGAATGTTCATGGGACCCAGCCTGTGCAAAGTTTGCTATATTGCACTGTTGACACCATTCTTTTCAATGCACAGAAGCCAACATTCATTTCTCTATGCAGCTCTCTGGTCATAATCCACTGATTTGAGCAGATGCTCCGATCCAGACACATTTCATTTTGTGTGTGACAGCTGTGCATTGCTATTGAGAACATGGCATATCATTTGAGCCCCTGTTGCCAATGCTGAAACGCAATATCCACTGCATCTGTTGTTTGGCCTTCTGTTTCTGGTTCAGCAAGAATCAATGAATGTCAAGGGGGTGCAGTTTGTTCCACATGGAAATATCAAAATCCACACCCTTGTTTCGAGTGGCCCTGATTTGAAGTAGTAGGCCACAATCTATTTTGTAATGTGTTTTTAGAAATGGCCGATTTGAAAAAGTAGATATGCCATATATTTTTGTAGTGTATCTTTAGAAATACTGTTGTTGAATTGTTTTATTAGGTGATCAGTTCTCACTAGCAAAACTGTAATAGCTTTTGGTGTAGCTAATAGTTATGGATGTAGCATTACATACGAGAAAGCATGTTGTATGTCTGTACTGTTTTGAAGAGAGACCCTCAGCAAAAGAAACATAATGATGAAAGCCAGGGCCTCCACACGAGGCTGAATTGTCTCACTCTGGGATTAGGTTGAAATGCAGCAGGCAGATGTCACGATTCTCTTCTCTATCCTCCTTATCTTCTAACAACCCAGTGTATATCATTAAAAGTCAGGTTGCCAAGCTTATTTCTATCCAGGGTCAAGCAGATGTCCAGAGCTCATGGCTGAGTGCTGAGTGAGCATAATAGGCTTTCTCCTACTGTGCATATATCTCTGAATAAAGTTCATGTGGAGGACAAGGAAGGAAGACCACTGGATGAAAGACAAGGCTGTCGGTTGGGGTGTCACGGTGCCAAAAGGACTCTAGACGGTAGAAGAGACCATGGAATAGAAGACTGGAAACCTCAAAAATCACTCCCTGAGATAGGTGTGAATATGTTAATTGTCTCGCGTGTAATTGATGAATATGTACTATCTGTGGAAATACAATGGACTCTGAATCACGTAATCTTTGAAGTGCTTATGGTGGAAATATCCCCAGTGCTTCTGGTGCTGCTAATAAAGAATACTTGACTTCATGGTAACAATACTTTCCTGTTATATAAGTATGGATTTTTTCTATTCAGGTGGCAACCCAGATGGGACAATCTCTGTTCCGTTGCGGGACCCGTTGAGAACAGGACTCCCTGGGCACCCCTGGAGGGAATCCTCACCTCAGCTGGATCACTGTGGAACAGACAAAGGACATGTGAAATAAAAATAAAATAAATAAATAAATAAATAAATAAAATAAAAGGCATTCTTTACTTGTCAGTTTTGGGGAAAGGTCCATTGAGGAGGCTATCTATAAGTCAGCCGAGATTGCAGGGCAGGCCTGGTTTGGGAATACTCAATTGCAGGTGGGTGTCCTGCTGGGTTGGGGAAGCCACCTATAAGTCACTGGGGATCGCAGGGTTGGCGTCTCTTGGGCCATGAGCACCCAGGTATACATTTGGGAAATACCTGATTGCAGGTTCGTGCCCTACTGGGTATGTATAGGTTTTGAAACTAAGGCACTGAAAATTGGCTTTGATAATGCGTTCTGTTTACTGCCTAAAGAAACCAGGAGCATAAAACTGGACAGTTCTTGGAGTGTCTTAATTGTAAGAATAAGTGCTAGGTGTTTATGTATTGTTTGACTTGTGGTGTTGGAGGGAGTGGGGCAAACTGATGGTGTGTGGATATTAAGTATAATTGATAGTATGTGGAAGTTTATGCAAGTGTAACTGATGGTTCATGGAAGTGTAATTGATGGTATGTGGAAGTGCAATTGATGTTGTTTATGGCACCTTGGTTGCTGTGAACTTTGTTATAGTTTGTTGTTGTAATTGAAAAAAAAATTAAGACAAAAGAGTTAAGGAGGAATGGTGAGTTGGAGAACTAGAATGGATTAAAATTACCAGTGGAAGCCTGAAATCAGCAGAAAAACAATAACAAATGAAGCTCCCATCTTGCTAGGGGATGTTGGTTATGGCTCTCCCTGAAGGAATTTGATGTACAACCACGGCTTGAGGGAGATGGTGACTCCATTACCTACCAATTTGAGGAGGCACAGTTTTCCAAAAGGGGAGCAAGTAACTCCAAAGAAATCCTAAAGAAGACACCTATGGAATGTGTCACACTGGAAAGAAATAATTGGCTGGGCAGGAAGCACAACCAGCAAAAAGGTGTTGATAAAGTACTGTAATCAGTGATGTAATGGTATAGGGAATTATAATTGGTGCAGTTTGTGATGTCTTGGTGATTGCAGACTTGGTCATGGTTTGTTGTTGTAAGAAACCATGCATAATATTTTAAGTGCACATTCTGAATACTGTGTGACAGGTGGCAAGATGAGGAGCGGAACTGTGGAATTAGAGAAGGAAAAAAAAGTCCCCAGGGATGTATACTGTCTTATTGGAGCAGTACTGGGAGACCCGCTGGAGGAAACGTAAACCAGACAACTTTGGGATAAATATACCATAATCAGTGGTGGAAATTACAGAAGTTGGAATTTCAGGAAAATGCTCAGCAAATGAATCAATTATACTAGCATCTTGTAATTAACGTTGTTTTGTAAACGGGAACAGCAAATAATTTACGTGAGATGTGATGCTAGCAAGGACCATAGAGAGGAAAAACGGCGAAAAAGAGAATGCGGGGCTGGCTGCCACCCTGGAAGGGATCTAAGATGCTGGTCACCACCAGCACGAAATCTGCCCTGCGCTTCCCCAACCTGTGGCTTGCAAAAGGAATGCTCAGAGCAAGCTGGGCTGGAGACCGCAGGTGTGGAGCTACATGTGCTAATTGCAGGGGAGGAGGGTTGAGGTGGGATGCATTGGAAGTGAGAATGCCCTCCTCTGTGGAGATCTAGGAAATCCGACATCCCAGCTTTAGCGCTGGAAGCCTCCGGGGCAAGGCTGCAGGCGAAACTGGAATAGAACGTTTGATTGATACAAATGGTTTTTATATTTACCAATGGGCAAGGAAATCTTTAATCAGTTGGGACTGGTTGGAGGAATTAGGGTCAAAAATAAAATCTACAGACAGTGTCCTTTGTAGGCAGGAGTGGTGCCTGGCAGAACAAAGAGAACTGAGCCACTTTACAATGGGGGGGAGGAGAAAAGAAAAAGGGAAAAAAAGGAAAGACACAGGCTGAGGGAAGCAAAGAAAGGAATAGAGAGGAAGCAGAGAATGCAGAAGAAAGACAGAAGTGCAATGTTGTGAGGGCGGAGAAGAAAGGTGAGGGATATGGAAAAACTGAGGAGATAGTAATGAAATAAGGAAATCCAGAAGAATCATAGCAACTGCTACTGTTGTGGCATCAGCAGACTTCGCAACAGTGGTGGGAGTTACCAGCCTACAGGGAAAAAAGCAACCAAAAAAAGTTTCATTTCGAAATGAAGTAATACAGGCTGGGAAACATTATGTTACAGGTAGGAGCCAGATAATGTAAAGAATACCATCAGAGAAAAAAAAAAAAAAAGAATGTAAAGAAATGTAAGTAATAACAGCTGATATTTTGAAGCAGGATTATTAATTGGATGTGAATCTGAATAGAACATGACAATCTTGTCAGTGGGGAAATAAAAAAAAAAAAAGTCAGAGGGAGAGCCCTGCGTGGGGCAGGCGTGCTGTGTCCGGCCTCGGCCCGGGCCCGTCGTGCACGGAGGGCTGCGCGGGGATGAGCCCAGGGCCCGGAGCCTCCGAGTGCCGGGGCGCCGCGCTCCGCCTCTGCCCCCCGCGCTGCCCCGCGCCCCGCCCCGTCCTCCGCCGAAGGGGCCGCGGTGGCACGGGGCCGGGCCGGGCGGGGAGGAGAGGAGAGGAGAGGCGAGGAGCGGTGGGCGCTGCCCCGCCTGGGCCCGCCGAGGGGCGGCCCGAGCGCGGCCCCGCTCTGCTGCCGTCCGCCTGCCGGGCAGACGGCGGCGGCGCGGCGGGGCGCGATGGCGGCCGGGCTGGGGCCGTGGCTGCTGGCCTTGGCCTTGGGGCCGGCAGGTGAGAGGCGGGCACGGAGGGCGGCGAGGCCGGGGCTGGGCGCGGCTCCTGCTGCTGCCCCGCGGGCGCGCTGAGGCCTGCAGCTCGCCTTCGGTGCCGGGGAGCGGCTGTGGTGCGTGGCAGAGGGAGGCTGTGTGGGGACGCGGATGCTGCGGGAGCGGCCCTGGCTGATGAGCCCCGAGCAGGAGGGCGGCTGGGGCAGTGCCCCTGGCCTGGGGCTGGGGCTGTGGCTGTGGCAGGGGAGAGGAGGTTCACAGCTCGGAGTTTATGGTCTACGGCTGTTAGAATGTCTGGGGAACGTCCTCCTTCCATGGATGTGCAATGCCTGGTTCCTGATGCTGTTCTTCTACAGGAGTGTGTGCACAGTGGAGACTGGAAGTGTCTGGCGGAGGTGTGCGAGCACCTGGGGAGTCTGTGCATCTGTCTTGCCAGGGATCCGGCTTCAATTTCGGAAGTTACAGTGTTCGGTGGTACTGTCAGGGACCTGGTGGCTCTCTCAAGTGGCTGTCCTACATCAGCACCAGCTCGTATACTAGATTCAACTCTGATGTGCAGGGTCGATCCTCAGTTTCTCGAGACAATTCCCGATCTGTGTCCTATCTGTCTCTCCGTGCCCTGCGCCCACACGACTCAGCGCACTACTTCTGTGCTGTTCGCACAGCAACAGGAAATCCTGCAGATCTGTAACAAAAAACCTCTTCCTAGACACAGCCATGACTATGACTTCAAGAACTGCAGGGCTGGCAGGAGCTGGAATGGCTCTGGTCTGCTCCTGGACAGTGAGGAGACATCACTGCACACCACAGATGACCCTGTCCTTTCTGCAAGGTCTCATTTAATTTTGTCACTCCTTTCATTCTCCTGAGTCACAAAAGCAGTGTTGTAACCTGAGGATTATGTTCAGCATTTTTCTGTTCACCAAATCAGCTTGGCTACATTGCCCACCTTCCTAACTCTAGCTGGTCTGCACCCGATCTTGTTTTCTTCCCTTCCTTGGGTACTTAAAGCACTTGGGCACTTCTAGCAACCACGTTGCCTGTTTCCATTAGCAAATACAGTGACCTCGTATCTGTCTCTGTGAACCAAGTAGTCAGCGAATATCAGGAGCCTTTCAGAGCGATGTAATCCAACAAATGGCGTCTGCAGTGTTGTAGGGCAATCTGAGATCCTGCAATGTAGATAGGTTACTATGAAAGCAGTGTCTCCTATTTGATTGCAATGAAGCTTCCACAGTTACAAAGTGCACAATAGCACTATTTATAGAGAAGATTCGCAGTGCAAGACTTTTCACATAGTCAACACCATTAGCTATGATTCTCACCAGTAATGATGAAGATCTTTCATTTCATGCTGGTAAATACCTGCACCAGTGGAGGTGAACCACAGTTTCACAACTGTTGTGCTGACACTGTTACCAGGAAAATTTAACCCCACCGTACATCTCTCATCAGCCCAAAAAGATGAAAGTCCAGAGGTGCAATATATACATTATATCAGGTTGTGAAAGGACTCTTCAGCTGAAACTGTCAGTGTGCACCATGGTCATCATACTGGTATGGAGTGAGGCATTATCTTACTGCAGGATGCCTTCTTCTCTGGCCTGACTCTGGAGGGTTGAGCCTTCAGCATTGTCAGCATTGAGACTGAGCAGTCTGAGCTGATGGATTGTCTGGGTTCTAGTAAATGCTGAAGGATCTCCCCTTTTCCTATCCCAAAAGACAGCGCACGTCACTATAGCCACAGAGGGCTGTGTCTTGAACTTTTTCTTTGATTGGGAATTCTCATGTCACCACTCCATGGACTCTGGCTCTTTTGACTCTGTCTTATAGTTGTGACAATACGTTTTGTCATTGTTAATGATGTGATTTAGGAAACTGTCACCTTGATCCTCATATGGGCTCAGTTGTTCCTGACAAATTTGCACACACTTTTTTTTCTGTTTCTGTGTGAATCTTCACTGATTCTTCCAGGTGCAAACTTTGCTATATTCCAATGTTGACATAATCATTTTCAATGCATGAAATCCAATATTCAGTTCTGTAGGCTAGTTCCTGTTCATAATCCACTGATTCATACGGACTGGCTGATCCAGAAATTCTTCATTTCATGGTGTGACAGATGTGCATGGCCTTCTGGAATGTGGCTTGTCTTTCCTGTCAGTATTACTACTGTTGAAACACAAAAGCCATTGCATCACTGCGCTCAAACTCTCTGTTTGGTCTCCATAAATGTTCAGCAGGTGTCAGTGAATGTCAAGGGTGCAATTCTTTCCATGTAGAGCAATTCAGCATCACACCTTTGCTTCATTCGCACTTCCATGTCAGATTCCATTCTGTCAGGTTGCCCCTCACTAACAATGTGTTACACAGCAACAAAATGCAATGAATGCTGGTGGAGTGCAAACTCTACTGACATAATGCTAGCAACCACCTCTACCCCCATATGCCAACGTAATAAAATAGGTGGCTTTACCTGTGGAGCAAACCCTTCAATGTTTCCTATATTTATGTGGACTGGTACACACTATCCTGGTAGGCCCCCTGCAGTACTGACTCCCGAGCTCAATGGAGCACCACCGCAACTGTGGACCAAAAAGTGACTGATAGACAATCCAGAATTCTTGATTTTTCTTTCTAGCAGTCACAAATCAGATGATGTCATGCAACAGCAGGTGCAGAAAACAGGCCTTTCCCAAGTATGTAATAATATGCAGTGGAAGAAAGCGTAGCTCAAGGGCTGAGAAAATTTACAATGAAAATGGAGCTATTCTGGGAACCTTGGATGCTACATGGTGCACCGTAAGGTAGTGCACATTAACTGGGCTTCTGACCTACCATGGCCCAGTTTTTCCTCCAAGGCCTGGTTGCAAAGCTATTGAATCATGGAGGTTTGGTGGGATAATGGGAAGAAGTGCGGTAGGAGATGGATCAAAAGAAGGGTATGTATCAAAAGCAGTGTAGCCAGCAGCTCCAATGAGGTGATTCCAACCATTTATTCCACTCTTAGGTAACCTAACCTTGAATATTGCATTGGCCTGTTGGAGTGGGTCCAGAGTTGTGCCACAAAGATGATCACAGGAGATGCAGCAGCTCACCTACTGTCATCAGAAATCAGTCAAGAAAACTCTCTAATTACCATGTGGTGGTAAAAGCCGACACTCCTTTATTCCTCGCAATAGATACTGGCAACTTGATAAATCAAGCACATTCTCTGAGAGTTCAGGTGCTACATTTAAACAGTTAAGATATACATATGCGGTACATTGGTATACATATTCATTCTGTCCCAAGAAGTCCTTAATATATGCTACTGAGAAATATATGCTACTACCCATAGGTGTACATGGTAGGGGCCTATGTTGGTCTTACAGCACCTACTTCCTCCTCCTTTTTCCATCATCAGCTTCATCACAGTGACTTTTGGCTGTCCTCTAGCTGTTCATCCCCAATTTGACATTTCCATTGCTTGTTAGGCCATAATGTGCAACTTTCTAACTTAGTGCACTACAATCCAAAACAGTAAACGTGAAATTGAAGGAAAAAAGGAAAAGTCTGTGGTGGATGCAAAGAGAAAGGTAGTCTGTTGTGATTACAGTGCTCCTGTGAAGCAGGGTCATTGAGAAAAAACACAGCTGTTCTCACAGCAAGCAAAGGTAAACTGGAAAGTTATAGACCTATCACTCACTGATTCCTTCTGCTAATGTAGTATATTGATCGTTAAATGAATATACTGATCTCTATTGCTAAACCAACCTTCATCAATGCCAAACCAGCCTCTATCACTAAGGAGACAGGCTGAGAGAGATGGAGTTATACATTCTGCTAATTCCGTGTTTTTTTTGTGCCAGTCTGATGAGATCTTTGGTTCCCTCGTCTTTGCTGGTTTGGAGCTGGAAGACTCAATTTCTGCAGCATGCTGGGACCACAGTGAGAGACTGCCTGGGATGCCCTGACAGCATCAACATGGTGTTTCCCTCCATCCCTTCCCTCCTCCCCTCTCCTGTTCAGTGTTCAGCACAAAACGGATGGCGTGAGAATCATAGAGTCATAAAACAATGGAATTTCACAAGTAAGAAGAGACTTGAAAAATCATTAAGTCCAACCGCAACCTAACCATACTACCCTAACTCTAACAACCCTCTGCTAAATCATGTCCCTGAGCACCACATCCAAACATTTTTTAAACACATTCAGGAATGGTGAGTCAACCACCTCCCTGGGGAGCCTATTCCAGCACTTAACAACCCTTTCTGTAAAGATTTTTTTCCTGATTTCATACCTACACTTCCTCTGGCAGATCTTGAGGCCATTTCCCCTCGTCCTGTCACCTGTCACCAGTGAGCAGAGACCATCCCCACTCTCACTGCAATCTCTTTTCAGGTATTTGAAGAGAGCAATAAGGTCTTCCCTCAGGCTCCTGTTCCCCAGACTAAACAGCTCCAGTACCATCAGTCTCTCTTCGTAGGCCATATTCTCCAAGCCCTTCACAAGCCTTGTTGTCCTTCTTTGGACCTGCTCCAGCACCTCAATTTTCTTTCTGGATCGAGTTGTCCAAAACTGAACACAGAACTCAAGGAGGGTCCTCACCAGTGCCAAGTACAGGGACAGGATGACTTTGTTAGTCTTGCTCACCACACCATTCCTGATACAAGCTAGGATGCCACTGGTCTTCTTGGCCACCTGGGCACACTGCTGGCTCAAATTCACAGAATCACAGAATGGCCCGGGTTGGAAAGGACCTCAAGGATCATGAATCTCCAACCCCTCTGCCACAGGCAGGGCCACCAACCTCCCCATTTAATACTAGACCACCTTGCCCAGGGCCCCATCCAATCTGGCCCTGAACACCACCAGGGATGGGGCATCCACAACCTCTCTGGGCAGCCTGTTCCAGCCTTTCCACTCTCATAGGAAAGAACTTCCCCCTGACATCCAACCTAAATCTTCCCTCCCTCAACTTCAAGCCATTTCCCCTTGTCCTGCAGTTATCTACCCTTTCCAAGAATTGAGTCCCCTCCTGTTTGTAGGCTCCCTTTAGGTACTGAAAGACTGCAGTGAGGTCACCCCGCAGCCTTCTTTTCTCCAGGCTGAACAAGCTCATCTCCCTCAGCCTGTCTTCGAAATTCAGCCAACTGTCTGTTAGTACACCAAGGTGTGTCCAGCCACTCCTCCCCAAGCCTGCAGGGTTGCCTGCAGTTGTTGTGACCAAAATGCAGGACCCAAGAGTTCGCCCTATTAAAACTCATAGTTTATGTTGCCCCATTGTTTCAGTCTATCCAATTCTCTCCGTAGTGCCTTTCTCCCATCTGGCAGATCAACACTCCCTCCCAAAATGTGTTGACTGCAAACTTTCTGAGTATGCACTTAATCCCATCATCAAAATCATGAACAAAGATGTTAAATAGAAGTGGCCCCAGTACAAAGCCCTGGAGAACACTGCTCATGACCGGCCACCAACTGGATTTAACTCCACTGACCAAAACTCTTTGGGCCCAGCCATCCAGCCAGTGTTTCACCCAGCAGAGCGTATCCCATCTAAACTGTGGGCAGCAGCTTCTCCATGAGGATGCTGTGGGGAACAGTGTCAAAGGCTTTACTGAAGTCCAGGTAGACCACATCGACAGCCTTACATTTGTCCGCTATACTAGTCACCTTGTCATAGAATGAAATCAGGTTTATCAAACAGGATCAACCATTCATAAATCCATGCTGACTGGGTCCTGATCCCCTGGTTGACCTTTAATTGATCTGTGATGACTCCTGAGATTATCCATTCCATAACCTTCTGTGGCACCGAGGTGAGACTGATAGGCCTGTAGCTACCAGGATCATCTTTCCGACCCTTTATGATGATGGGTGTCACATTTTCCACTCTCCAGTCCACGGGGACATTTCCCAGATAGCCAGGACTGTCAAAGGATGGATGGCTTGGCAACTACATCCACCAACTCCCTCAGCACTTTCAAGTGCAATTTGTCTGGCCCCATGGACTTGTGAGCGTCCAGCTTTTGGAGCAGGTCCAAAACCATCTCATCATGGATTATGAAGGACCTATTCTGTTCCTCATACTTATCTACCAGCTCAAGGGGCTGTGTGCCCAGGGAGCATCTAGTCTTACCATTAAAGACTGAGGCAAAGTAGGCACTGAGCACCTCAGCCCTATGCTGATCCGTGGTCGCTGTTTTGCCCAGGACATCCAACAAGGGATGGAGATTCTCCCTAGCCCTCCTCTTACTGTTGATGTATTTGTAGAAATATATACTCTGGTCCTTCCCCTCAGTGCCCAAGTTCTATTCTAGCTGGGCTTTGGCTTTTCTGATTTTCTCCCTGCACAGCTTCCCTACATATTTGTAATCATCATAAGTTGCTTGCCCTCTCTCCCAAAGACCTTAAACTTTCCTTTTCTTCCTGACTTCCAGCTGAGGGTCTCTGTTTGGCCAAACCGGCCTCCTGGCCCATCAGCTCATCTGCCGTGACATGGGGTTGGTCAGCTCCTGCACCTTTCAAATAACTTCCTTAAAGTATTCTCAGCCTTGCTGGGCTCACATGCTCTCCAGAACTGTCTCCCAGGGGACCCTCTCAACCATGGTCCAAAAGAGGCCAAAGTCTGCCCTCTGGAAGTCCAAGGTGGCAGTTCTGCTAATTTCCCTCTGTGGAAATTAGTGGAGGGAGAAATCCAGCATCTCATGATCACTTTGTCCCAGACAGCCTTCAACCTTTACGTCGCCCACAAGACCTTCTCTGTTAACAGACAGCAGGTCCAGGGTTCTGCTTCCCCTTGCTGGCTCCTTCACCAGCTGTGTCAGGAAGTTACCTCTCACACACTCGAGGAACTTCCAGGACTGTTTCCTATCTGCTGTATAATAAATCCAGCAGATGCCCAGGAATTTGAAGTCCTCCATGAGAACAAGGAGTAGAGACCTTCAGACTTCCCCCCACTGTCTATAAAGTATCTTATCCACCTCTTCATCCTGGTAGGGCAGACTTTAGCAGACACCAACAGTGATGTCACACTTAATGGCCAACTAATTCTATTCTGACCCTTAAGCTCTCAACTCATCATCGAATTCCCCACATTCACATTCCTTCTTAACATAAAGGACTATACCACCAGCTTTCTTGCCTTGCCTTTCTCTTTAGAACAGTCAGTAACCATCCATCACAGCACTCCAGCTGTGCAAGTCATTCCACCATGTTTCCATGCTGGTGATTATATCACAGTTTTCTAATATTACAGTGGCCTCCAGCTATTCCTGTTTGTTACCCATGCTGCGTGCATTAGTGTAAAAGCATCAGATCTGGGCCACCTTTTGAGTGGGAGATGCCGTAATACCCTCTCGACCCTACTCAGGTGTTTCTGTAGCCACCAACTTCCTGCATCGCTGAGCAGGGACCTTTTGCCATTGCCCTATGCCCCCCGCCCCAATTCTTCACCGTTGTTCATAGGGGGAGGAGTGTGCAGGGCGTTCAGTGTAGCAGGAACACTAACTGCCTGCCTGTTCCCCTCTATTAACTGTTTGTAAGGTGGTAGGGCAGATGTGCTTCACGTGGAGCCTCAGCTGGCTGCCTAGATCTTAGGACCGATAGGAACTAGCACCACCAGTCTCACACCCCCTAACGCTGCTCAGCCTCTCCACTTCCTCCTTCAGGTCAACCACAGGGCTGAGTATATTATTTAGCATGTTGCATCTCACAAGTTCTGTCTCCATCACCTTGCATTGCAAAGGCCAGGCCTTGGCACTCCCTGCAGCCACAGACCTGTGCACTAGCATGTTGTAGTGGGGTCTCTGTCAGAATTTGCACTTTTTTTT